CTTCTTCTCATGATCAGCAAAGCCATGATGAGTCATATTTATATGGAAGCATCCTCTGGTAGTGTAGATTCAAGTTTCTTCAAAACATGACCCCCGGGGGTAGGGTGGGGCCACAATGGACTATCAAAGTTTTACATCGAAATATATAGGAAAAATATTAAAAATCTTCTCAGGAACAGCAAAGCCCTGATTAGTCATATTTATGTGGTGGCATCCTCAGATAGTGAAGATTCAAGTTTGTTCAAATCATGACCCCCAGGAGTAGGGTGGGGCCACAATGGGGGATCAAAGTCTTACATAAGAATATGTAGGAAAATATCTTCTTCTCAAGAACTGCAAAGCTATGATTGGTCATTGTGATATGGAAGCACCCTCAGGTAGTGCAGATTCAAGTTTTTAAAATGATGACCCCCGGGGATAGGGTCGGGCCACAATGGTAGATCGAAAATTTTACATAGGAACATATAGGAAATTATCTTCTTTTCAAGACATGTTTAGTCATTTTGATATGGAAGCACCCTCAGGTAGTGTAGATTCAATTTTGGTGAAATGATGACCCCCGGGGGTATGGTGGGGCCACAATGGGAGATCAAAAGTTTTACATAGGAACATGTAGGAAAATATGTTCTTCTCAAGAACAGAAAAGCTATGTTTAGTCATATTGATATGGAAGCATCCTCAGGTAATGTAGATTCATGTTTGTTCAAATGATGACGCCTGGGATAGGGAGGAGCCACAATGGGGAATCAAATTTTTACAAAGGAATATATAGGAATTTTTAAAAAAAAATCTTCTCAAGTACCGGTACAACAAAGCCATTTGTTATTGACATGGAAGCATCATCAGGCAGTTTAAAATTCAAGTCCCCCCCTCCCGTTATCTTTTCAATTCTGAACTGATTTGTGCTTTTGCCTAGTCAATGTGCTTAAGTGAGCGATGTGGCCCATGGGCCTCTTGTTGTAATAAGCATTGAGCCCTCTACCAAAATTGCGAAATTCATGGCCCCATTATGAGGGGTTCTAGAGTTAGGTTGGGGCTCTAATAATCATATAGTGAAAATGTATAAATTCCTTAAAAATTTTCTCTTTCCCTGTATATAAAGCAGATAAATTAAGTGTATGGTTATGATGATCAAGGGTACCTCTTTCAAAATTGTGAAATTTGTGACCCTAGAGTGAGGGGTTCTGCAGGGAAAGGGGGTGCTATTGATTGTACAGTGAAACTTTGAAAATCTTCTTCTCTGCTCCTAGGAGATAAACCAAATATGTAGTTATGATAAGCAGGGAGCCTCTTCCAAATTTTTGAAATTTGTGGCCAAAGAGTCAGGGGTTCATGGGAGGGGGGGTCTATCAAATATAAAGTGGTAATGCATTATTTTTTTTTAAAATCTTCTCTGTCCCTGGGTATTTAACAAAAAAACTAATTGCATGGTTATAATGAGCAAGGATGTCTTTTCAAAAAGTTTGAAATTCATAGTCCCATGGTCAGGGGTTTTGGTGTTAGGGTGAGACTCTTTTAAATATACATGTACTGTGTAGTAGAAATGCATTATTTCTTTGAACATTTTCTTCTCAGCCCATTGTTAATAAGGAAAAATATTAGGTGCATGGTTATAATGAGCAAGGTGCCTCTTCCAAAATTGCGAATATCTTGGCCCCTGGGTCAGGAGCTCTGGTATTAGGGTGGGGCTATATTGAATCAATAGTGAAAATGGATAATTTCTTTGAAAATCTTCTTCTCTGTTCCTGGGCATCTCAAGAGGCAAACAGAGTATATAAAGATGTAATAAGCAAGGGTGTTTTTACCAGATTTTGAAATTCTGTAACCTTTGGTCAATTTATTAACTTTTACTGAAAAAATTATTCCCCTTTGCAATTCACAATGTAAGTGAAAAGATCAATTGAAAAATTATACAAGATTTTTTACAATATTTAATACAAAAAGTACTTTTAAAATTTTTAATGGTCAGGTAGACTTTCAAATGAAAATAGGACAAAAATACTGTATCTTTGTACATTAAATAATCTTCAGAGACTAAGAGAGGTCAATATGAGAGGAAATGTGTTAACTAAGAGTGCTATAGAACTATTGTTTTGTTTAGTCCACATGGGGATAGTGACAAATTGGGGAAAGTGCAGGCAAATAAATAGATCAACTTTAAGATTTGTTACTGGGTACTAAATTAATATTTTGCTGATAATTGATCATCCTATTTCTCTTGCTTTTGGACAACATAGCTTCATTTATTAGCTTGTTTTAATCTGTGGATCATCACATTATACTCAAGTGACTGTTAAAGCCCTGGGCCTCTTGTTTAAATGATAGAATGATTTTTCCAAGAGATTTTTGACAGAGATTTGTTTCTCATAATTATATTCCTTTCAATAATAAAACATAACTATAAATACCCAAATTCACAAGTTCTATGTGACTTTCATCCGGCATTTTGCATGCCTTGTTCACTGTTCTTGAAAATCCAAATATTTATGCTTTTTTTCAGTGAAATGTGCGACAGGATCATACCATGACACTAACATGGGCACATGTAAAAACTGTTCCAGGAATTTCTACCAGGATCAGGATGGTGAGATAAGTTGTAAAGCATGTCCAGGATCTGTGAAAAAGTTTACACTATCAGAGGGTTCGAATTCACAGAGTCAATGCGTGTGTAAGTATCCAGTCAAACTCAAACTCACCCAAGCCATATCCATCCAATTGTCTATTCATTAATTTTTCCCAACAACAATTTAGACAGTGTAGACTAAACATTAGGGTATCAAACATTGTACACTGAACTACTAATTGACAACTAAAGGGAAAATCTCTGTCTGAAAATCATTGTGGCCAAATTTTGTCATACACATGTACAAGGTACATGTATTGCCATGCAAACTTCACCACATTATGTACATGATATAATTTTTCTAACATCCTTGATTTTGTGAATAGGCAACAAATGTTACTTGCACAACCTAGTATAAGAATACTTTTGTTTCAATTTGTCAGGCTTTTTCTACATGTATATTGTTAAAACTTGGTTTAAAAAAATAGCTACAAGTATCAACTGTTTCTAAGAATATACAGTAGATTAAAACATTAACCCAGCTTGACAATATCAAAAAAGGAATTCATTGTAAATGATTTTAGCTGAATGTAGTACTAATCCAAATTACTGTAAGAATGGAGGAACATGTAAATCTAATGATGTGACAATATGGTGTACATGTAAGGAGAGATATACAGGACCCAGATGTGGAGAGCAATTTGGTAAGTCGATGTACATATAAACTCATGAGTTTCTGTCACTTATAGTGGATGATAGATGTGTAAACACTGTAATCATAATTATCATGTCAATTTTTCTGACTGTAAGGATCACAATCTCAAAAAAGAATTTGTAGAAAAAAAAATTAATACACATGTACAACATTCCTAAGAGTAGGAATGTTGTATTTTTAAACATTAAGGAGGAGCAGGAGCTTGAGCTGAAAAAAATCATTTCAGAAAATTTTTGTATATATAGTAAATTACTAATTTAGAATGTTCTAGTCCTACATATATTAAAGCAGTTTTTTCATCAGATTTCTTGACTTATTTAAGAGATATTGCCGCACAAATATTGCTCTGTATGCGGGCCAAAACCGAGTCCATAGTGGAAATTTTAAAGAACAAATAAAAAGATATGTATGAGGACATGTATTTCTTCAAATGTTTTTACAATATGAATCAAGTTTAACATTCTTCAAACAAGATTTTTATTATAAGTTAGGAACTTTTCGAAACAATTTTAATGAGGAAAAACTTGTTTGAGAACAAGATTCTATCAATAAATATTTTGAATATTACTCAACTTAAGTCCTTCATTTTAATAATTAAGTGCAGAAATATCAAAAGGTGAACCTTACCCCAATATTGCACATGACATTGTTAAACATGGCGTAATCCTGATAAAAACGCTGTATCTTTATATTTTCCGAGAACAGGAAAAACAACTATGATGTTACATGAAAGCCTGTGTGAGCGATATAAGATATAAATAAAAAAATAAAAATTCTACTTACATCCAAGCAAAATTTATAATGGTATTTCCTCTTTCACTTAATACCACAAAATAGGTAGACAATATACCTGTTTCGTATTATAAAACTGACCGTGTAATCAAGTGTACTTGATTTTGCTGCTCTAACAGATTATGACATCACTGACTTGTTAGACACACATTGGAGGGGAAACAGAGGAGTGGGTCAATCTTTTTATGCCCCCGGATCGAAAGATCCCACGGGTATATTGTTTTTGTCCTGTCTGTCTGTTTGTCTGTTTATCTGTTTGTCTGTCTGTCTGTTGTCAACTTTAACCTTGCCCATAACTTTTGATTGGTTGGAGCTATGACTTTCATATTTCACATGTGTATTCCTTGTGACAAGACCTTTCTTTGGGTACCATCATATTTGACCTTTTGACCTTGACCATGGAAATGACACACTTTTGCAAAATGTTATGAGACTTTAACCTTGGCCATAACTGGTTGGAGCTAGGGCTTTCATACTTCACATATATAATCCTTGTGACAAGACTTTCCTTTGGATACCAACCACTTTGACCTTGACCTAGGAGTTTGACCTACTTTTGAAAAACTTTAACCTTGGCCATAACTTTTGAATGGTTGGTGCTGGGGCTTTCATACCTCACATATGTAATCCTTGTGACAAGACCCTCCTTTGGATACCAACCACTTTGACCTTGACCTTGACGTTTTACTTACTTTTAAAAACTTTAACCTTCGCCTCAACTTTTGAACAGTCGCAGCTAGGGCTTTCAAATTTCACAGGTATATTCCTTGAGACAAGACCTTTCTTTGGGTACCAACATTTTTTTTATCTTTTGGCCTGGATTTTGACTTGCATTTGAGAAACTTTAACCTTTGACATAAGCTACCTTACAGGGGCATCAGTGTTTCACAAACACATCTTGTTTACAATTTGTAAATATTGATATGAATTTCAAAACTTTGAAATATTTTCATATAAGATGATAAAGCACAACAGTATGTGCAAAAATTATACAACTACTGGTGATTTTAATAATGTTTTAGGATCTTTATTAATAGGGATTATGTCGCAGTCAATTATGACATGTGTCCTTCATCCTCTTAAAGCTTTGATCAATTATCATTATGAATACAGATTTGTTGATAAGTGATATACATTTAGTCATTTACTTGATAATATTTTATGTCAAAAATATTTTACAGTTGATTTTACGCAAATGTTGTTTTCTTTCTAGAACTTACATCAAACACACCTTATATAATAGGAGGAGCAGTCGGTGGATCAGCTGCAATAATGGTTATAGCTCTTATTATATGCTTGATTAGATGTCTTCAAAGGTAATATTATTACAGTATAATTATTGATAATTAATATATTAAAAATGCTTAAGAATGCTTGACATCTTATCAAAATTCAAAGAACCATAAGCCTTTTAGGTGAGAATTTCTTGAGAAGAATAAACTTTGAAACAATATGCTTAGAATGTAAGTGGTGCACAAGACAAGTGTAACGGGGATTGGGTACGTCGGGCCAGTAGCTCAGTGCTAGAGCACCAGCACAGTTAGCGGGAGGTCCCGGGTTTCGAGTCCCAGTCTGGCCAACATTTTTCCCCACCTGATATACAAGCATATACATGTAGCTATAGCAGTCAATCAAACTCAAATGTTGCATCATTGATATTGCCATTGTGATGCAATAACTTGAGAATTCTTTGCTTTTACTACATGCAGTTAAAGAATGGTTAGAATAAAATGAAATTTGATGTCACTTATAAAAGTGCAAGATTATAAGTATGTCTAATTGACATAGCTAGAGTAATTCAACTCTGTACATGTATACAGGACAGGCCTGTTAAATGTAGGTACAGTTGAGCAGATCTATCCTGGGAAATGATGAACACTTAGGTTGCAAGAAAGATATGTGCTAAATTAATTATAATAAACTATGTCCCTTCCAATCCCCAACCCTACCCCATATAAAAAAAACATATTAAGGAAAATTACATCACATTTTAAAAGTGGTTTTTTTAATCAAGTTGATATTTAGAACCCAAGCAGTCTTCATAATACTTGTTTGTCTTTCCTTTATTATTTTGCTCACAAAAGAATTTTATTTTACCACTGGTACATTGGTAAATATTGTTAGATGAAAATTGATTATTGTTAGATGAAATGAACAATTCGTTTTGAAACCATGCATTAATTTATTCAGAAGTCAATAGTTGTTGTTGTTTTTTTTAATTTACTTTGATCAGATAAGAATTTAACAATATTTCAACAAGTCAAAGTCATATGCTCTGCATATTAAGGTCAACAGATCAGATTATTAGTCCCCTATCAGTGAAACCAGAGGGGACTGTAGGTTTCCTCCTCTTCTGTCTGTCAGTGTGTCCTACTTTGTTTTGTACACCTTTTTAGCTCACCTGAGCTGAAAGCTCAAGTGAGCTTTTCTGATCACATTTTGTCCATCTGTCCGTCCATCTGTCTGTAAACTTTTCACATTTTTGACATCTTCTCCAGAACTACGGGGCCAGTTTCAACCGAACTTGCCACAAAGCATCCTTGGATGAAGGGGGTTCAAGTTTGTTCAAATGAAGGGCCAAGCCCTCTTTCAAGGGGAGATAATTTAGAATTAGTGAAAAATTAATAGCATCTTTCAAATATCTTCTTCTCAAGAACCACAGGGCCAGGAAAGATGAAACTCATGTGAAAACATCCTCAGGTAGTGTAGATTCAAATCTGTTCAAATCATGACCCCAGGGGGTAGGGCGGGGCCACAATTGAGGATCAAAGTTTTACATAGAAATATATAGGAAAAAATCTTGAAATATCTTCTTCTCAAGAACAGCAAAGCCATGATGAGTCATATTTATATGGAAGCATCCTCAGGTAGTGTAAATTCAAATTTGTTCAAATGATGACTCCAGGGGTAGGGTGGGGCCACAATGGGGAATTGAAAGTTTTACATCAGAACATGTAGAAAAAAAATTTCTTCTCAAGAACAGAAAAGCTGTGTTTAGTGGTATTGATATGGAATCATCCTCAGGTAGTGAAGATTCAAGTTTGTTGAAATGATGACCCCTGGGATAGGGAGGAGCCACAATTGGGGATAAAATTTTCACAAAGGATTATATAGGAAAATTTTTTTTTAATCTTCTCAAGTACAACAAAGCCCTCCTCCCCCGGTATATTTTCAATACTGAACTGATTTGTGCTTTTACCTAGCCAATGTGCTCAGGTGAGCGATGTGCCCATGGGTCTCTTGTTCTGGTATGTGAGTGTATCTAGATGAGATACAGATCAAGTTTGCTTTTCATTCAAATTCAATGATTTATAATGGAATTATGACCTTTTTTAATTTTAATGGATTTCCACATTTTTTCCCTAGACGCTTGCAGATTTGGAGCTGATTTTTAGTATAGGAGTTTACTTTGATGACTGATGAGTTATAGATCAAATTTGCATTTGCTCCGCTTCAATGATTTTTTTTTTATGGAATTATGGCATTTTTAATGGGAACCAGATTACACTTGCTGGTAGTGGACTAGTATTGCTAATGCAATACTCTCAGATTGCTTGTTTATCTATGCATACTTGAGATATGGGGGTTGCCATATAACTTGGAAAGTTTAATTTAATTTTCTAGTATGAATTTAGAATTTTGCATTGATGTACTAGTGAGTAGAAGTACAGTGAGACAGTGTATAAAACAGGTTTAATTTCTTCTATGAAGTTGCCTTTTATATATCAACTGAATCTTTTGCTATAATTGTAGATCAAAAGAATCCAAATATCCATCCAAGGAACCAATGGAATATGCTTATGATGACAATGCTTCTCTTTTTGACAATGGCTCCAATAGAGGACTGATTTCATCATATGCCCGAATGAACCCATCCTTTAACTATGATGAAGACAGCTTCTACGATACCCGTAACAGGATGTATCCACAAGAAGATAATACCAGTGTATATTGATGGCATGAGGCTCAAAGGGATTACGATCTTTGACATTCATTTTCTCATCTATAACTGTATATTAATCAAGTAGTTAAAACATTATATATTAAAATTTTACGATTATTATTTTGCTCTTGGAAGTCTAATTAAAACATGATTTCACCATTACTCCCTAGAACATGTACATGTATGTATGTTTTAAGTGTGTGGTTGGTTTTACAGTGGACATTTCATTTACTGAGATGTCTCTCTGATTATTCTCCAACTAAAGTTTTTGTACTTTATGAGTGCATGATTTATACTTGAATGAAGTAAAATTGATGTCTTTTTATGACTGATTTCTTGCCTGTACAAGTACACCAGAGTGTACATCTTTCTTCTGAAAATGTATTTTTAATTAATGTAGGAATTAATTGTTTGTGTCTTGTGCAATAACTAAATCAAAAGCAATTTTTTCGATCAAATTCATAGACAAAAACTTTTTATATATTTGTTAGTTGATGTTCAGGGTTTCATATATGAATTGAAAACCTGAGAATCAGATGGTTGAACATGTGCAAAATTTATGTGGAACATTCATGTCATAAAGCATGAAAAATTCTGAAAGACTTCAAAGAAAGTACCGGTTTAAGAAGTAATGTTCACATGTGTTAGTGATGCTGATGATTTTTCATCTTAGAATTCTCACCGATATGAGTTGTGTGTTGCAAGTGTATAATTTTGATAATCAAACATTTCAGTCTTGTGTGAAATTTGATAGTTACATGTACAAATGGTAGAAAATATATTCAGAGTGTATTATATCCATAGTACCTACATTGTTATGCATTATTCTATTGACATGTATTGACAGTTATGAGGCAAAGTAAATATATATTAAAGTTTTCCTTTCTTTTCTTCTAAATGTTAATTAATACAAATAGACATAACTAAAAATCAGAACAACACCTAATATCTTTTTAGGGGAAAGAATCACTGTATTATCAACCCATACGGGTATTTTATTGTAGTTTTCTTTTTTTTTTGGGGGGGGGGATTTCATGGTAACAAATAGAATATTTCCCTTTCTCCAGCAATTTCTTCCCTAGCCATCATCTTACGCATGGCCTTTAGCATTATGACACATATGTCATTGGCAACATCACACAAAAGATGAATTTGTGCATTACTGTCTTGGGCTTGCACAATAAGCTGCCTGAGAGGAGCAACCTTTGAATAACATATAGACAGTTCTACTCACTTTCTGTTGACTGGTCATACAAAATATAGCTGATCACATGAGCCTCAGAATAGGGTTTGTGAAGAATGCAAAAGGAGTTGGATGTAGAAGATATACAACTGTATAAAGATTTAAAAAATCATTGTTTAACACATGATGTTACATAACCCTAAATTTGGTACCATATTTATCAATCCAGTGTTCACCAAGACATGCCCAGTCAAGTATTTGTGCTGGCAGACAATTAATACAAACTTTAGAAGACAGTTACATGTAGCTGCAGTAAAATGCACCTGTGACGTCACTCTTTTGTTTGAGCGCTCCATTATTTTTCAGGAATGGAGAGTTGCAAATTACATTGAAAACAGAATTTGTTATGTTGATATTCTCATTCCCGTACCTCTACCGAGGAAAGAACTTAGTAAATTTTAACAAGCTTATTTTCAGATGAAGAAAAATTAATGTGGCACTGTTGACAATCGGACCCGGTACCTTCACCTTCGGATTCAGGTACTCATCTCACTACGCTATCAAAGTTGTTGAATGACAGCGGATTTGAATAACTCCAGGACACTTTTAGCTCGCCTGAGCTGAAAGCTCAAGTGAGCTTTTCTGATCACATTTTGTCTGTAGTCCGTCTGTAAACTTTTAACACTTTCGACTTCTTCTCCAGAACCACTGGGCCAATTTCAACCAAACTTGCCACAAATCATCCTTGGGTGAAGGGGGTTCAAGTTTGTTCAAATGAAGGGCCATGCCCTCTTTCAAGGGGAGATAATTAAGAATTAGTGAAAAATGAATAGCATCTTTTAAAAATCTTCTTCTCAATAACCACTGGGCCAGGAAAGATGAAACTCATGTGGAAACATCCTCAGGTAGTGTAAATTCAAGTTTATTCAAATCATGACCCCCGAAGGTAGGGTGGGGCCACAATGGAGGATCAAAGTTTTACATAGAAATATATAGGAAAAATCTTTAAAAATCTTCTTCTCAAGAACAACAAAGCCATGATAATTCATATTTATATGGAAGCATCCTCAGGTAGTGTAGATTCAACTTTGTTCAAATCATGACCCCTGGGGGTAGGGTGGGGCCACAATGGAGGATCAAAGTTTTACATAGAAATATATAGGAAAAATCTTTAAAAATCTTCTTCTCAAGAACAACAAAGCCATGATGAGTCATATTTATATGGAAGCATCCTCAGGTAGTGTAAATTCAAGTTTGTTCAAATCATGAGCCCCGTGGGTAGTGTGGGGCCACAATGGAGGATCAAAATCTTAAATAGAAAATGTGTTGGAAAATATCTTCTGAAAAAGAACTGCAAAGCCGTGATTAGTCATTTTGATATGAAAGCATCCTCAGGTAGTGTAGATTCAAGTTTGTTAAAATCATGACCCCCAGTGTTACTGTAGGACCACAATGGGGATCAAAAATTTTACATAGGAACATATAGGAAAATATCTTCTTCTCAAAAACAGAAAATCATGTTTAGTCATTTTGATATGGAAGCATCCTCAGGTAGTGTAGATTCAAGTTTGTTCAAATGATGACCCCTGGAATAGGGAGGAGCCACAATTGGGGATCAAATTTTTACAAAGGATTATATGGGAATTTTTTTTTTAAAACTCTCCTCATGTACAACAAAGTCATTTGTTATACTGACATGGAAGCATCATCAGGTAGTTTATTATTCAAGTCCCCCCATAATCTTTTCAATACTGTACTGATTTGTGCTTTTGCCTAGCCAATGTGCTCAGGTGAGCGATGTGGCCCATGGGCCTCTTGTTTTCGTCTTACTTTTTCTCTATGATTAAATGAAAACTACTTGCATGTATATTTACAGTGTATCTTAAAAATATTCTTTATTATATATTAACAAACAATAATTACAAGCATTTAAAAAGGTGGATTTTGCACGGGTCAATATACTCGTAGCGCTCCATTCCTTAAAAGCAATGGGTCTCGGCCCCTTTGGGGCCTCGGCTCCATTACTTTTAAGGAATGGAGCGCTACTCGTACATTTACCCTTACATAATGTAGCCCTCAATGATTACAAAACTCACTTGATGAATGTTATCTACAAGTAAGGCAAATCTCCAGTTTTCTAGTTGATGTGCATCCCAAGATCAATACCCATCCTAGTTTGGTTTAAGTAAGACCTGCAGTTACTTGGGAATGGACCTGCTCCATAATCTTTAACCGGTTCACTCATCCAGAAGATGTAGGTCAGTTCAAACATCCAAAGCAAGCATGTTAATGTCCATCCCTAGATGCATCATCCATGCAAGCTTATTCATAACAGGCCATATAGTTACAGAACGTCATAAAAAACCATTACAGTGGTTACTCATCTGGAAAATATAGGTAAAATTCAGCATCCGAAGCAAGTCTGGAGGTGTCCATCCCTAGATACATCATCCATGGTCAACGTTTGAGTAAAATTCACTCAATTGGAATATATAGGTCAGATCCAGCATCCGAAGCAGATTGGATAGCGTACATCCCTAGTTGCACTATCCTTGAAGCTTGGTCCAATTAGAGTTTATGGATACTTGGAAATGGACTTGGTCCAAAAACTTTGACCTAGTCACTCATCTTTAAAATGTAGGTCAGATCCAACATCCGAAGCAAGTCTTGTAGTGTCCATCCCTAAATGCATCATCCATACAATTTTGATCCAGGTAGGGCTTATAGTTACTTGGGAATGGACTAGCTTCATAAACTTTAGCCTGGTCACCGATTTAAAAAAAACGTTGGTCAGATCCAGCATCCGAAGTATGTCCCGTAGTGTCCATCACTAGATGCATCATCCATGCCAGTCTGGTCCAGATAGACCTTATAGTTACTTGGGAATGGACCTGTTCCAGAAAATTTAACCTGTTCACTCATTTGGAAAATTTAAGTCATATCCAGCATCCGTTCAGCAGGTCTGGAGGTGTCCATCCCTAGATACATCATCCATGGTCAACGTTTGAGTAAAATTCACTCATGTGGAATATATAGGTCAGATCCAGCATCCGAAGCAGATTGGATAGCGTACATTCCTAGTTGCAATATCCTTGAAGCTTGGTCCAATTAGAGTTTATAGATACTTGGAAATGGACTTGGTCCAAAAACTTTGACCTAGTCACTCATCTGGAAAATGTAGGTCAGATCCAGCATCCGAAACAAGTCTTGTACTGTCCATCCCTAAATAGTTACTTGGGAATGGACCTGTTCCAGAAAATTTAACCTGTTCACTCATTTGGAAAATTTAAGTCATATCCAGCATCCGTTCAGCAAGTCTGGTAGTGTCCATCCCTAGGTGCATCATCCATACAAGTTTGGTCCAGGCAGGGCTTACAGTTACTTGGGAATGGACCTGCTCCAAAACTTTAACTTGGTCACTCATCTAGAAAATGTAGGACAGACCCAGCATTCGAAACAAGTCAGGTATTGTCCATTCCCAGACGCATCATCCTTGCAAGTTTGGTCCAGGTAGGGCTAATAGTTACTGTGGAATGGACTTGCTCCTAAAACTTTAACGGGATGCCAACGCCGGGGGTAAAGTATAAGCTCATCACGGTTTCGTCAAGGTGAGCTAAAAATGGAGGGCTATATTATTGCAGCTAAGCTGCATAATTTCAGTCTTTTGATTCTTGAGAATTACCACATTACCCTAAAGTTTTAATGCATTCAAACCAAGAGTTTCAAAATTACATGGACTAGATGAAATCCCGCGCAAGCGCGGGGAATCGAATTTATACCACTACCGACAGAAAAATCTAATAATATACATGTATATATTGTAGTTTCTACTGACAGCCTACAGGCTTATAGCAGGAAGAAATACTTTGTTCAAAATCCCGCATGAAGTAGAAGTACGAAGTACGTCTCCAACCCCCCCCCCCCCAACCCCCTGTAAAACTTAAATAACAATATCATTAATTGACGTTTATTGTGAAACCTGTTATATACAATGTACTATGTTATGGATATTGTACTTCAGATGCTCTTATTTCATTTCCGTTACGAATAAAAGCAGTGAATATGCACATTTTACTGAGAAATAGATTTTTTGGGGGTAAAAATTCACAGTTACTTGGGTCTTGGTTTATAAATATGTATGTACCTTATTGATATGTAAAAACTGTACCTTACCTCTTTTTTTTTTTTACATGTATACATATTTATAATCCAAGACCTAAAAGTACCCGTGTTAAAATTAGCTTTTATTTAACGCACTATGAATACACTGGCGGATTTAGAGGGGGCCCAACCCCCTCCCGTTTTGTGTCCAAAATATACATAAAATTTAATAAATCATTTTTTTTGGTGTGTCCGTGGGCCCCTACCCCAACCCCAAACTGGTTGCCCCCCCCCCTCCCCTTTCAAGATTCCTGGATCCGCCACTGGAATAGGCCGAGTATTTGATACAAAAGACTGTATTCAGAAAAAAAACTGAAATGTATTAATTAAAGCACAAAATTATATAACATATAATTGTATTTGATTAATGCCTTATTCATTGATATTCTCTTTTCATGTAAGCAAGTTTATTACGAAGTACAAATTGTACTTCGGGTTCGTTGCCACGATGCTCTCAGTGAGGAATATATACAAATTTTACCGATAAATTTATTAGGAAAACCTACTACATATACGTATGTAATAGTCTTTCGA